AAAGTCTAAACTCCTTAAAGGAGGTTATATAGGGGATTATATGGGACTACTGCAGGGGTTATTAATGGGAACACTAGAAGTTTGGTGGAATGAAGACGAAGCGGGACTCAGAATTTCCACATTTCACATGGCGTATGACAGGCATTTGTTCCTCTGTTCTTCCCGAGCGCAGATGTCTTTCATACGAAATTTCCACCAGAAGGGACCCCTGACTGCAAGCTGCCAGAGCGGTGCAGGACACCATATTTAATCCGCTGGCCATGATCACGGTCAGACTGCAAGCGGCTGGGCTGTGCTAAGTAAGCGCCTTCGGCTACAAACGCAAGGACAAGCTTAGGGAACAAGTTAGTATTCGCAGTCTGTGCTGATAGAAAGGCATTGTTTTGGCGGGTCAGATTGCAAGGGTGGGTCTTTGTTGCAGCAATCAAAGACGTGAGTGTGTTGAAGTGAATTGGTGGCGCACAAAGTCCTTTGCCTCAATACAGTGGAGTGAAATCTGAGATCCAGGGCTGGGCTTGATCAAAGACGGAAGCCTAAGAATAAGAGTGTATGAGAATCATGTCCCATTGAATCCCTTGACTCCATTGAGTGCTTGACTCTCTTCAGCGCGTGATTCAGTTTTGGCACATAGCCATGTGCTCCACAAAGCGCGGGCGAGGCCGTCCGCACTTGCCGCCGTCCATGCGCCAATCATTTAGCGCTCCGAAGTCGGAGTTGCAGTTTCAGTGCTTGAGGATGTACAATTTAGGGGTTTGCGGGTTCAGGGGTTTTGGGGCATGGGCTTCTAGGCACTTGGAAGCTCATGACTGTGGCGGAGCTTATCAATTTGAGAGAGAAGGCTGCATATGGAGGATTTCCTTTCCTCGGTATAAGATGAGTCCCCATATTTGGGCTGTTGTGATATGGTCCCATACTTCTTGCCTGCCCTCATTTTGGGAAGAATGATTTAAGCGAAGTCCGCCCTTGTGCAACCAACTGTGACGAGAGAGAATGGACTGGTGTCGAGGAAGGCTAAGCCCAAATTACAGCTGAAAATCAAGTCACCGTATCATGATAAGAAAAAACCAAGCCACCAACATATACCTCATTATCAAATCGTAATTTCCGTTTGCCTTCAATTGCTTTCCACTGTTTCCGTCATCCCTATAGCCTACTCTCGCAGCTTTCGTACGGCCAGAGGTGGACAAAGACAAAGTTCTTTACCACGACCTTCGCCAATGTGCTCTGCGCATTCTACGGGCGGAGGGCGTGTTCCTGGCCTGCACACACTTTAGGTTTGAAAGTTTGGAGTTTCCTGCAGGGTTCTAGTTTAGTGTTTCGACGGCTGCTTGAAGAGTGAGAGAGGCTTTGTTGACAGTGCCTGATGGGTCAATGCCAAGTTGAGTCTAGAACATCTTCGTAAAACTTATGGGGTGTCGATTTCTGAGTGCTATTTGCTTCTACTTGTAATATCACGTGGTAGTTTCCCAAAATAGCGGGACCCTTCAAAAGACCCCCAAATATGATGATCATATTTTAGGGACCTCCAGAAAGGTACCCCTAATGTTGGGCAACCCCCTAACCCCCATAAACTTCTACATAAACGTAGTTTCCATTCAATTTTCCATTTCCTCTTTCCATTTGATTCTCCATTATCGGGGAACAAAGCCCTAAACCCCAATCCCTAAACCCTGTACATCCTGTATGATCCCTATATATTCCCTTTTTGAAAGTATCCATAACTATCTACTTGTACTAAACCCTAAGCCCTAGACCCTGTAAAATGTCACCTGAGATTTGGGCTGTGGCTTCCTGGCCTTGTGGCTACATGGATGAGCCTTGGCCTCTGCATGCTCGGCGCAGGGTTCCGGCATAGGGTTTGGGGGTCAGGATTCCTTTAGAACGGGTTAGAGGGGATATACAGGGATATATGGGGATATATAGGGTTTAGGGAGAATCAAATGGAAAAAAAGCATGGAAAATTGAATGGAAACTGGGTTGATGCAGGAGCTTATGAGGATGGGCTTTCTAAAATTCAGGGTTACCTTTCTGGGTGTGTTCCGGAGAATCCAATGGTGGAGAATGAAATAGAAAGAAAAGGGGGAAATGACATGGACCTTGGGCCCCCGGCCCTTTTAAGAGATGTATATATGTAGATATGTTGCATTGAGTCCATTCTGTGGGCATTTCTTGGGGGAGGGTAGCTTTGCCAGCTCAAGCGGTCGGCGCCAGAGACTGTGCTGGCTGAGCCAGCTTGTTACTCTTTTTTCCGATGGGTCTCTTTGCGTGGCATGCCACCCCGTAGAAAGGCCTCCCTTGGCAGCAAATTCTAAAACCCAATGCACTCGAACGGTGAACGGTGTTGTGCGTTAAACTAGCGTGAGGGCTCCCCGCCCAAGCGTACCCCTATCCGAATCACCCGGAGGCGTAACCTTTGGCAGCTGAGGAGGGCCTTCACGCAAACTGGCCTCCGCCTGGGGCTCTACCCGAGTATCAAGCTTCTCGGAGAACATCAGACCCTACGGCTATCGAATTGTGAGATCTGACCTTCTGACGCCTGGTGCAGTAGTGGTTTCCTATGATGGGCAGCTCTAGACTCTAGATCCTAGGCCAGCCAGCAGAGACCTGTCCAAGGAAATGCAAGCCAGAAAGAAGTGTAGGAATCCAAATAGCTTGCATCTGAGAACGATCAATTGTTTAAGTTCCTCCGATCCACACGAATCGTAATGGTAATTTGGTTGCTTCGCAGGGGCTTGTACCAAACTGCCGGGCTCGGGAACGACAACCTTGCTGTCAAGATTTGCTCGGGCTCCCCAGCCGCATGCAGCCCGGGTGGCCCACTTAAACCCTAAAGGACTTTGCGCGCCAGCCGAAATTCAAAGGGATGCTGATTTAGCCAACTTCCGCGCGAAGGGAAGAGAACTTAGTGTCCTTAGGGTCTTTACGTATTGCCCCAGACAAAATACGCGACCTTACAAGATCTTTGAATGGTTGGAGTTCCGGATCTGCTTCAGAACCACGGCTATCAACATGCTGGGAGGAGGTCCACCTATTCTAGGCCATATGAGCCATAGTCTAAACTCCTTAAAGGGGCTTATATAGGGGATTATAGAGGGGACTACTATAGGGGTTATTAAGGGGGATACTAAGAGTTTAGACTATGGCTCATATTCTCGGACTCTTGGATGTAGGTATGCAGCCTGACGATGGATTGGGGCCAGGGCCAGCCGATGAGATCTTGAAATCACATGGCTTGTTGGCGATGAAATCCTGGCCTCATCTCGCAGAGTGGATCTACCTGAAGTAGCAGCTACAGACCCAGTTGTAGTCGTGGCCTTCCAGGAAGGAAACTGACATGAACTACTGGCAATGGACTTTTCCGTTGAAAAAGGGACAGCCAGTGAGAGCTGCAGCAGACGCCATTCCAGCTGGGCAGGAACATGCAATTCCGGCTTTCCTGAAGGCTCAGAATTCAAGCTATCGAGCCCTACGTACACCTTGAAAAACCCAGGTGCCACCACAGGTAGCATTGGGGCTGCACTGGCCAACCCCGTCGACCTGGTTCGTGTCCGACTTCAGGAGGGCAGGGGAAAAGACAGACTTGTTCAAGGTGTTGGATTTAGGGTTTGAAGTGTTGGTGTTGTGGGAGATCCATCAGACAATGCATTTCATCTGTGAGGATCTGTGAGGTGTTTGTTCACAGGTTATCAGAAAGACGGCCGCTTGGTCTCGATGGTTTTCTGAATCGTGCTTATGACTATGTATCGCCGCTCCTAAAACATTATTAGTTTTTGCTGCGGCTACAGTCTGCTGATTTCCTCTTACTTTTGTAGCCGCCAATACGACATTATGAAGGCAGTTGAGTCGCTCAGCATCATCAGGAGCCCACATGGCAGCATTTTTGTGCATGTTATGCTCATGGGTTCAACTGGTTCGTGCCCAATTCTTTTTGGCCTGTTGCACTGGATGCGCTGGGACCGAACGGCAGTTTTGGCTCCATCTTGACTGTCACTCTCCACTTTGAGGCTCGCGGAATGAAGCGGTGGACAGTCGCCCGAACTCTAAGCCTGACGGCTGTTTGGTGGATCTTAGTTGTTTCTTATGCAGCGGCTCCGTGCGAACTCTTTGGTGAGCTTGAGTACTACACCATGGCGCTCTTTGCCTGTCAGCCTCTTCAGCAGCTGCCAGTTGAGCTTCCCACTCTGAGCTTGGTACTCTGCTTAGTGGTATGCCTAGTGCTCCTTCCAAACTCCATTTTGCATGTATCTGCTCTGCGGTGGAACGCTCTGCTCCACAGCGTCGGCATAGCTACGCTGGTAAGCAGCGTCATAAGAGCTGGGTTTGCAGTCCGCTTTCAGCCCCAAACTGCGTTCAGAGAATCCTTGGCGTTCATGGGCATTGTCACAGGGCGCGCAGCGGCCATCTATCTAGGCATGATGCTTTTGGTGATCTCCCGACGATCCGTGTTCTCCGAGTGGCACAGCTTAGACTACACGAATACGATCGCATTCCACAGGGTCGTTGGCTGGTGGGTGGTAGCCATGAGTCTACTTCACTCCCTTGCCTTTGGGGTCTTCTACTTGGAGAGGGGTGGTTGGCGTGAGCTCTTAGAGGCTTGCCTTCCCCTTGCGCGAGCCTGCAGCAATCCGGAGGACTCGTCATGCTGGAATATCCTTGGGCTGGTGAATGGTTTTGGAGTCGTGGCAACCCTTTTCGTGACAATCCTAGCGCTTCTGTCATGTGAACGTGTGCGCCGCGCAGCCTACAACCTCTTCTACTTCACCCACCTGATTGCCTCATTTGTTTTTATGCTCTTCTGCAGTCTCCATGATTTCCCCATGGCAATTCTGATGTTTCCGGGCTTGTCGCTCTACGTGAAAGATAGGCTGATGGCCTCTAGGTCCCGTGTTAGCGAGCCTGAAGTGACCGCCGAGATTCTGTGCAGACATGACGTTTCAAGCGTGGTGCTCCTGACATGGCGCTCTGAGCCAGATAGTCAGCTCATGCCGGGCACTCGCTGGGTCTATCTCAATGTGAAGAGCATCTCGCGCCTGCAGTGGCACCCGTACTCGGTGATGCAGCTGGGAGACCGAACGCAGGTGCTTCTTAAGAGCACAGGGGACTGGTCAGATGCATTGTGCAATTTCGTGGCCAGCGGACAGGCAGTGATACCTCATGTCATACTTCCCATGCCCCTTCCCAGCATTGTACAAGGAGCCTTTAGGCCACGTACACATCTTTGCACAGTAAAAGCCCTGAAGGCTCTGAAGCTTGGGATAGAGGGCCCATATGGCCAGCCCATCTGCAGCACCAGCGAAGCACGGCCGCGGAGCCTGCTGCTGATTGCAGGTCGGAGTTTCTCGGGAAAAGGTCTTCTGTAGCCGAAGTGCAGAGCTGAGCTTCACGAAGTTCTTCCCTCCCCGACTATTTCACCCCCCCTCCCCCCAAAAAAAATGCTAGTCCGCTTGTGGTAGATTAAAATGATCTATATTGGGAATAGGCGATATTAGTCGGGGTGGGGGTTCCCAATATCATCATATAAGACTCTGTATTGGATGAAGCATGAGTTGCCAGCCTGGGGTCGCCAGGTGGCATCGGCATTGCTCCCTTCATCGATTTCCTTTCTGGGCTGAGCATGCTGGAGAATGCCATGTGGCAGGAGGCTGGGTTTAGAGTTTAGGGTTCAGGGGCATCAGAAAACACGGTTTAGGGTTTCTTGGACTGGGAACAGAGTACCTGTCTCCAGATAATGCTTGCCAGATGTATGTGGGGATGACTAGGAAAGGCTACCGGGATCCTTATCGCCCGATCCACCTGCCCGGGACCTGTAGTTTTTAAGATGCCCTGAACCCTAAAACCTAAGCCTAAACCCTATACAATCCTAATACACTTTTGTAGTTTCCATTTTCTTTTCCATTCTCCCAATATAACCTTAATATATCCCCTATAATCCCAATATAAGCCCTATATAATCCCTATAATTCCTACAGTTTCCATTTTCTTTTCCATTATCCCGATATAACCCGACCAGCTTTGGAGAAGCCATCTTCTGTCAGAGTTAGGTCAAGATGGTCTGGGCTGTTCGAGGTGATGAGTACAGTGGGCTGGTATCTGCGATCGATTGGCAGAGTTTGCGTCAGAGGGCGGAGCTCTCAATCTTCATCACTTCCCAAGAAACTGGCTTGCTGCTAAAGAATTTATTTTAAGTTACTATATTGGGGAACCCCTATTCTTGACTTTGTCTACCCATTCTGGTGTATTAATCTAAGTTCCTTAAAGCAGCAACCAAGGAAACTGTGGCAGGGGGCCTTCTCGTGGATCAAAAGCTGGGAGCTGCTCCCGGCGGTGAGGCCCTGAGAGCAGAAGCGGGATCATACAGGATGAGGATCCTCCTGTCATGCCTGCTTATTACTGTGGGTGCTGCTGGGTTGCTGTTAAGGAATTTAACTTAAGTTACTATATCGGGGAAACCATATTAATTACTAGAATTACACATGTAGACCCATTAGGGTGACTTAATTTAAGTACCTTAACAGCCACCCAGGCTGTTGCCTCCGACTTCCTGGCCCACATCCTATACATCAAGGCCCGGCCTGGAGTGCGCAGCCTTGCAGAATATGCTTGGCTGCTTCGTTCAGTACCTTTGCTCCTCTTGGTGCTGGTTCTCTTCCTCGTCAGCCTGGGGCTTCGCTGGCTCCCTCACTTCACCAAGCCCAGAAATGAGCTTCCAGACAGCAGGGAGCTTGCAGACAGCCCTCACTCTCCGCTGACTTCGGCGCGGCAGGCTGCAGGGAGAGGGGCTCTGGAAGAAGGCCCGGGCATCGGAGTCCATCGAGCAAAGCCGGACTTGCCGCAGCTGGTGTCGCAGCAGGCGGCACTGGGACCCACAGAGGCAGCGGCATCTCAACACTTTTCAATCCCATGCTATACATCCATCAGGTATAGTTATAAACGCTTACCAGAAGGTCAAAGCAGATGACGCAAGGCAGGTAGCTGGACTTCTCCGTCTCCTAACACAAACTTCGAGGGTCAGGGAGACTTAGTAACTATACTTACTTATAAACCCTTATAAGCCACACAATAACCCCAGGTATCCCCCTGTTAACCTGCTTGCCATTCCCCTCGACCCTTCAAGAAGAGACCGCCAGGTAAAGGCATGCGGCCCACAGCGGATGCTGTCATCGCTCACAGCTGCTCGGCTGCCGCTTAGGAGTTGAAATTAAGTTACCATACTATGGGTATGTGGTAGATAGTAAGGTTTCCCCCATAAGTTCCATAGTATGAACAAGTGGTAGGTAGTAGGTTTTCCATAATGGGATCTTAGTTCAATCTTCCCAACAGCAACCCAGGCCACTGTGCGCGAGCTCAACGCCTCTGGCTTGGATGTTGTGCTGGACACCTTGGAGTCAGGCCTCTAGCTCGAAACCTCTTCAAGAGCCTCGAACATGTAGGTGTGGTAGATGCCAGGTGCGCCTGAGAACAGGCCGGATAGAGTTGTCCTTCAAAACGTTGCCACACATCCAGGCAACTTGTAATCGCTCATTATATGGGGCTTTCTCAGAGGAGGCTGGCCTCGCCGTGTACAGCGTAGCATGTACAGCTGCTTTTAAAAGGCGAAAGCCTGAATTGGCGGAGGGGTGGCAATTTGATTTGTAAACTTTGGAGGCCCGGGCCTGCTCAGCCACATTGGTATGAAAGTTAAATGACTCTGATGGGGACCCAAGCAGGGAACCGCACAAATGCAGTAGGAATATACTAGGAGTATATATCTATATATATCTCTATACATATATCTATTCTTGAGGTACCGTATACCTTTCAATTATGACATTGCAGGCGATCGCTTACATACACACAAGATATCAAGTCCTGTTTCGTGAGTTTTTTTTGTGCCCCACGAAGACGGACTCTGCACGTACCGAATGGTAACAGTGCAGGACGCCTTGCTAGGCTGGAGCTTGAACCCGGATGCATATCTGCGGGAGCCTGATCAGGCCTCTTTCTGGACTGTTCTACGCTGCTGTCTACACATCCCCTCGTCACAGCAGCAGGAGAAGCATATAAATACTCAGCAGCTGAGGGAGGCTCCCATTCATCCGCAACAGAGCTGCCAGCTTGGTCAGCGGAGAAGCAAAAGCGACTGAAGTTAGATTTCCTGCTTACAACCTGGAGCTACGCGACTCTTTGCGTTCTACAGGAAGCTTCGGTTTGATTCGGAGACTGCGTGTCCAGGAGTTGTGAAACGAGCCCGGGTAGGCGCCTCTACATCAACCCATCGATATTTCCTGAACGTTTGTCAGCTAAATTCTAAACCCCCATCCCTAAACCCTATACCATCCTAAACCTTATTTCCTAACCCTAAACCCTAAACCCTTCCCTTCCCTGAGCTCTTTGCAGCGTATCCTCAGGGGTGAGCCTGGGTCCCTGACTTTCCTTGACCCTACCTGTCTTCCTCCAGACCATAAGGAGACCTCTTCACATGAGCTAAACTCTAAACTCCTTGAAGGGGTGGTTATAGGGGAGATTATATAGTGGAATATTATAAGGTTATTATTGGGAAGGCAAATTCCTTAAAGGGGTATACACAAGGGGGTTAGATAGGGGAGTACAATAGGGGTGATTAGGGGGGGATACTCGAGGTTAAGACTATAGCTCATATGGCTTGGCAGCCCTAAAGCTCTACTACTCCTTTAAATCCAAGCGGGTTTCTGGAGACCTAGCGAAAGACATTTTCTGAAAGAGTTTAGGGTAAGTTTAGCGTTTAGAGTATGGCCCCCCAGAACCATGCAGCTCATTTATCTGAGACCCCCCAAACAAGCAGTTCTAATGCCAGCGGAGGGCGAAGCCGGACTCATGGTCGATGGAGACACTGAGCAGCAATACGGGTTATCTGAGCTCTTGTCTAAATTCCTTAAAATCGTGGAGTATTATGTGGTTATTAATGTGAAGGCAAATTTCTTAAAGGGAGGTTGTAGCGGGGAGTATATAGTGGAAGATTATAGGGCTTACTAAGGTGGATGCTAAGAGTATAGACAATGGCTCATTAGGCAAGGTTATGGAGGAAAGCAACCGGAAGACGAAATGAACACTGGGATTATAATTACACAGGTTTGTACGTGGACCTGTTGCTAGTTGTTAGTAGTTAAAAGTAAAATTAAGTGGAAAAGCGCATGGAATATAAACTAGGTTTAGGGTTAAGGCCCAGCTAGCAAGCTTCGTGGCGACAGGAACAGGGTGATGGATAAACGACAGTACGTGACTGTCCCCTAACAATGAGCCCTCAGAAATGTGCGACGGGCTGTCGAAAGAGCAGTGCAAACAGGCGGAAGGAGGAGCATATTCGCCCCATTGCCATGTCCATACTGAAAGCCATGGCAAGTAAGCGTGCAGAAGCTCACAGCTTCCAAATCACTGTGCGCCTCAAGCCGCATTTTGGCAAGCATGCCACTTCCCACTTAGATCAGGAGGTTCATGGGCTCGGGGCTGATGTGGAATTTTGGACGCTTCTCCTGTACATGACAAAGCTTCCCTTTAACGCAATCTCAGCTTACCCAGGTTTATGCAACCGGTCTGCAGGCGGGGCGCGCGCCCCGTCACGCGCACACGCTTCGCGCATTCGCAGCTCGGTGGCACTGGGGATGAAGGCAGCAGATACCTCACTATTAATGCCCTCCCCACCCCCCGTAAGATTGAATCCTCCATTTTAATTTTAATGTATCCCAGTTTCTTATAATATATTTTAGAATATATTGGGAATACTACCTTACTTAACAGGTAGCAGGGCACGGTTCTTTCTCAAAATTACTTACCTGTGGTTAGCTAGGGATGAAGGAATGGATCCTTAACTATAGTAGTACCCTTATAGCGCATTATCGTAGTTTCCATTTTCTTTTCCATTCTTTCATTCCCAGCTAACCAAAGGTAAGACTGGAGTACTATGGGGAGTATGGGGAGTATTTATAGGGTTTATTAAGGGGGGGGGGGGGTACTAGGAGTTTAAACTATGGCTCACATAGGTGATGTGCCGGAAAAAACCCTGGCTTGCAATCACCTTCTACGTTGCCTGCAGTATGCGGTCACCTTGCACGGTTCCAGGTGGACATCTTCCAACAGCAAGGCCCGGATGGAGGGGATTTCTCAACCTCAACTGCGCATGGGCATTGGAAGATCTGCAGTTTGTATTGAAGGAGTCCTGATTTTGATAGACAGCTACTTCCGTAGATGCTTCCTCTGTGTGAACATTTGCACTTGTTCTTGACTTTTCTGGCGCCCTTATCATGCCCTAGTCATCCCTAGTCACCAGCCATTCTTCCGTGGGAGACTGCCCCTGCCACATCGCATGATTCAGATCGGGTTATTTCTAGTGGACGTATGGGCACCATGCCTATCAGGCACAGTTTGTTTGACATGAAACCTCAAACGGAAAAGTATCACGCATAAATCGATGTGGAAAGTATCACGCATCAATCGACGTGCAAGTTTTTCTCCCCTCGCGGTACGCGATTTCGTGTACAACATCCTTTCCAGGGACTCAACTAACCCCGCCTGTGCCTTCCATGTATTGCCGGAGATTTCGAGGAGTTGAACAAATCTTGTGCCCCAAACATCCCTACTGCTACAAGCTAGGTGAGAGAAAGCACTATTAAACAATATTGTGGGCATTTCTCAAGAGATTCCTATTTTGAACACGTAAAGGTTTCCTACATAGTCCCAAATATTGTGGCCACCTTCTCATCATCCCAAGAGTCCCCTGGCTTCCTGAGGCCTCTTTTGGAGGGGCCCGCTTCCCGTGCCTAAGGAAATCTCCGGAAAGAGAGTCTACTTTTTGGCAAGCCTCATTATGAAAGTGATATACTTGAACGCTATGTTCTTCAATTTTGTACCATGACATGTGGTTACTACTAGGAATTTTCAATCTCTTTATGGAACCTGAACTTGCAGGCCTTGGAGGCCTCTGGCGTGGCGTCTCGGCTAATGTGGCTCGAGCCTCGTTGCTGTCGGGGGCGCAGCTGACGACCTACGACCAGTGCTCGGGCGTAGTTTCCAGCTTTTTTTCCATTATCGTTTCGAAGCGAGCGTTGCTGATGTGGGGTTGGATCTTGATTAGGGTTTAGGTACCGTAAACCTTAAACCCTAAACCCTAAACACCCTAGACCATGTGTCGCATGCCATTCCCTATATCTTTGAAGCGCTAAGCCCTTACCTCCCTAACACCTAAATTCGGCCTCAACCCCAAATTATAGCTTCCATTCTATTTACCATTATCCCCATATAACCCTTGTATTATACCCCTATATTCACTAATTCAGCTCCAATCTCCCAACAGTCCAGAGGTGCAAGCAGGCGGCTGTGCGTGCGGGCTGGCTGGATGGGCCCCAGCTACATTTGGCAAGTTCCTGCCTTTCAGGCATCCGTCCAGATGGGGTGTCTCAAAACCAGGGGCCCTTGGGCACTGGGACCAGGATGTATATATACATATTTATGCGTATACACGCTTGTATATCATAATACATATATACAGAGAGAGAGAGAGTCCTTTATTTATATAGATATGTATATACATATATATACACACACATGTATTTGGGGCAGTGTGTTTGACTTGTAGGGGACACCCGTCGGGATTAGGTAGGTGCTGTTTTGAGAAAGACTCTTATCAGCATCAGGGCAGAACCTTTGTTACAAACAGCCGCTGTGACGAGCAGATGGATGAACATCACCCAGCTACGAGTGCTAGCGCCAGAAGGGGTAAGTAGTCTGCGATACCCAGACTTGTCCCGAGAATGCCCTAGAGCCTGGGAGGCTTCATGGCGCAGATTGCCTGCATGCCGGCGGATGTTGTGAAGACCCGGGTTCAGTCTCTTTGACCCTAACTTCGGTATCTTCCTGACGTGCACACTATGAATTCCATAGTTTTCTGGTTCAAATTACGGGCCTACGTTGGAGTTCAGGATTCGATGAGGGCAGGGCTGTGCCACCAAATGATGTGGCCATCAGCTTCGACCCTGAGCTAGGCCAATTCGGCCGGGCAGTGCCATCCATATGTTGTAGCGGGAGCAACTTGTATTTTAGCGCATCGGGGTGTGATGTGCGCGCAAAGGTGCACGAGCCCTCGGTCGTAGATGCCAATTTTGCATTACTATTTCCTGCCCCATTCAGATCTCGAAAGTTCTGTCCAACGTCTTGACCTGTTCTGCGATCTAGTGATTTTCGAAGCTGTTCCGCGGGGTGGGTAACGGCATCTGTCTCGTTTGCCTCAGCGAGGGTGACATGCTGATCAAGTCAGCAGGTTTTTTTTGTAGTTTAGGGTTTATAGTCCCCTTAAGTAGATAGAATATAGGGTATATGGGGATCTTACTATAACATACCCAAAGCCATATTCTATCTACTTCAGGGGGACTGTAGGCTTTAGGGTTTCCACCCTGGTCCAACATGATGACAAGGTCAGGGCAGATTGCATACAGAGATCCCTTGCACTGCGTCGCCTGCATACTCCGGGAGGACAAAGCGACTTGCGCATACGGTAGTTTCCCAAAACATGGGAATATATTGGAGTTATATAGGGATAGTGGAAAAGAAAATGGAAAGTACCATATTGTAATAGGGTATCTATGGGTATATTGGGAAATGGTAGTTTCCCCAAAAAGGGGGACCCCAATATAGACCCCAAAATATCATACTCCATATTATGGACCCCAAAAAGGTACGCATAAGTTTGGGAAACCCTAATGGTCGCAAAGAATTTTGATGGGTGCGCGGGGCCGCAGGGCAGAAGATCTCAATAGCCTTCCAGTAAACTGCCTATTCTTTATTTGGCTCTCTTCTTCGGGCAACTCTTATACGGATCCAGGAAGTCTAGAGAGGCAGGAGCATGCCCGCTGAGCACAAGCTAAAGGTTTGTTGAAAAGGGGACATAAAGCTGCCAACATGTCCATTGAGCAATGGAGTATGCACAGACATCCACACGCGGAAGGCCTGTCTCCAGTCACTCCAGCTTGTGTGTGTTCATGAAGATTCGGGTCACAGCATATGCCCCGTTCTAGAGGCTTCGCGGCACGGCAGTGCCCAATAGGTAGCCAACAGATTTGTGAAACTGCGTCATCGCCCCTAAGTATTCCTCATAACTGACAGCAAGAAGGCCGTATGTATCATTTATGGTTTTGAGGTTTTCCCTTCACATCCTCGAAAGATTGTCGTACGCACATTACCGGCAGTTGAAAGCCTGACAGGGCCGTGCTTGCTAGGAGGGGCCTCGCGGCTTTTACCGCGGTTTCGCGCCGGCGGCGGCGCGGCAGGTCCCTGCCACCTGGGCATAAGCTGACGGCTTTGGGGTAAGAGATCAGGACAAAGGTTTCAGGGGTCTCAGCAAATGGGATGAAGGTATGTGGGGGAAGGAGCCTGGCTTTTGGCCTTCATTCCAGTTACCTTCATCCTACCTTCAAGCCTGGTGCTAGGCATCCTGATCGCAAGGTGGTTCCTTTTCAAGGAGCATGGGGGGATATGCTTGGGTGCGGACGGACAAAGAACAAAACTGGAGGGCTCCCAAACCGACGGGTGTTTTCTTGGGTTCTGGGGGTCCCTAGTGAGTCGGTGCTCCTTTCTTTCAGGAATTTGCCGGATGGCACGCATCTTGATGGATACCGAGACATTGCCTGCAACGGTCAGAATGGAGAAAACATAGCAACAGAAACACTATCAACTCGCAGGAACAAATCCTGATATCGGCACAACACCTTTGTGCATGCCGCCCACGCCTTGCATGACTTCAAATTTGTGGGCACACTTTGAACCCAACATTCCAGAATCAAACCATGATCGTAGGCCCGCGCTGTCTCGTGCGGGATCCCTGAATGCAGGGCAGGCTAACTTTGGGGGCATGACCTGTACACAGAGGAGCTTGCAGCAAAGGTGATGGCTGTGCAGATGCCGATCGTCGAGCAGATTCGAAAAAGAGTCTTCGGACTGGACTACATGTAATGGCCAGAGAACCAGGACTTCGATCAACCACCACAATGTCTCCTTGTCGTGGAATTCGTTCTGTATTGAGCGTGGAACGCTCGATTCCTAGTTGCTGATCTCAGCGAAGTGAGCATCTTCAAAAGATGCCTCGCAACAAAGGATTGAAATTTTCCCATTGCCCGAGCAATGACACTGTTGAAAAGGATCGTTGCCTTGTTGCTGTTGCTGCTTTCGCTCGCGCTGTAGGTATTTCTTCAGCCTCGCCGTGTATGAGATATTTCAGCACTAATCATCGTAAGCTTTTTTTCCACAACATGTATATCTCAGCATGGGCTTCCACCTGCACGTCTCCCAGACAGCACACACAGAGGATGATCTTCATAAGAAATTTGCAAGAGGTGCTATGACTCTTTTCCGCACTTGTCTGAATTTACATCGGCATCGTGGGCGGCAACGTCGGGTATCCGCAGACGCATTGGCTCGGTAGTGACGAGGATTTTTGCTGCGGCTGTTGCAATGTCAGGTGCGCAGCCGGTTTCCTGCTCACACTCCTGGGCTCAGAGTAGGGAACAAGGGAGTGTATATATGTATGTGTGTGTATGCATTATATATGTACATGTATATTACATAAGGATTACGTTCCTTTAGTCCCTAGTAAGCACTAGTAAGGAGTGGCTTTGTCAAGAAGGGTCCCTGAAGTAGGCCAGGCTCTACAAGATGATTACAGCTGCAGTGGGGTGCTGGAGATTCTCATGATTGGGCAGTTGGTTGAATATGTTCACCTGATTCTCGGCGTTTGAACCAATGCGACGTACCTACCCCGAGCGCAACGTACAGCACCCCTGGTTCAAAGTGTCTCATGATGGGACTTGGAGATTTTCCATACTTCCAAAAGGTGGGGCTTTGTTCTACCTACGTATTTTCAACGCAATTCATCCTTGCTGTTCGTTTTCTCGGTTTTTGCTTTGGAGCTTCTCAAAATGTCCCTTGCAGTGCCTCTGTAATCATTATATACCCCCAGGGTTTCTAGGGGCCAGCAACGCCCATGCTCACCTGCGTGTGCAGGGGCAAAGGTCGATCTCTCCGGGGGAGACTTGGCGAGATCTGAGTAGGGCTTCCTTCAACTGTTTTAGGCACACATGGGCCTAAAAACGCTTGTGGTGTAGTGTATGTCAAAGTCTCTGGGATGTCCACTCCTGTGGGAGGTACAGCACTTTGCATGCCTTGGAATTGGAAGTAGGGCATCCGGGACGGGAAGGACGAACCCCTTGTGAGGTGTGCGGTTATTGCTTGTCAGACCATGGGTCGAGAGAGGCCCTAACTAAGCCCACATGTTGCAGCTGTAAGCGGGAGTTTGGAGATCAACTGAGTACGGTGAGTGCTACAACGGCAAGGTGATAATTAAGCATGGCTTTGTCTTAGCCAAGACTAGCGTGGTTATTTCAAGTCCCAGTTGGGGGAGGAGGGAGTAACCGCTGTCAGAGTGTACGTGTTCCTGATGCAAATCCCAAACAGTTCTTCAACGGCGGGCCCATAGTTTTGAGTACATTCCCCTGTCTGTAGACTTGCACAAACCACAGTTCCACTGCTATACCCCCATTCGCCTATGCTGAGATGCTTCAGCCCCACCAGCAATTGTCCCAACATTGTCTGCTTGTATACATCTGATATTTAGAACAAGTGGCAGCCCGAAGCTAGTGATTAGTCCCCTCCACTGAAGGTGAAGATCCCCCCTGACGGGCTCCAACATAAACTTTTACTAGATGGGAGCATTCACTTAGGGGACAGAAATTGTGTCGCGTAGCCAGCACACCCAGAAGGATGTACCACTTGAGGGTTCTTTGGAGGGATTTCTCCTAAACCCACGGGCTCAATCCCCAAGGATTAAACAATACCAACTCGGTTCCTATAAGAAGGATCCTAGTATTTTGGGGTCTATATTGAGGTCTCAGTATTTAGGGAAACTGCCACCTGAAAGGCACACCCCCAAACCAGCCCAAGGCGCCCAGTCGTCCTCGGCTCCTGCCGGCTTCGGTGGAGGCATGTGATTCGCCCTATGTAGGGGTTGCTCAGGGGTTTTATGAAGGTGTCTTTGGGGGTTATATTGGGATACTGGAAAAGAAAATGGAAGCCACTATAGTACAGGGTTTAGGTTTAGGGTTTAAGGGAGAAAAATCCGTCATGAAGGGATGGGGGGTTCATTACTAGAGGGATAGGAGAATTTTTCGGTGCCCTTAACCGCAAAGCGCAGGCATACACCATGGATGTCCTACAAAAGACCTTTATATGTATTATCTACAAGAAGAAGACTGCTCGGGGCTGCGCGAGCAACCCCTCCAGACGAGACCTGGATTTTGCATGAGTTTATTCTGTTTTGCAGCTCAAAATAACCCCTTCTCCCTAGCAATGAGCCTATTTCCCAACAGTGGACATTCTCAGTAGTATAGT